CAGCAACTTTTCGGTGAGCTTATCGCCTGGACACAAGCACAGCTCTGACCGTTTGCTTTTGTAAAATTATCTGTCATCGACATCTTGGATATCATTCAGCCAACGCATCGGAGGTGGTGTCATTCAAGTTCTTGGCTGATCTAAGATGCGCTTGTTTCCGGATGGTAGAGATAGGTACGGCAGTGTTAAATTCGAATTACGATTAGAGAAATGCAACGAAAATTGTGTCCTCGCATGCATATGTGCAAGTGTCGGTAAAATGCGACTAAGTTGAGAAGAGTAGTTGCTGGTGCGTCTTATTGCTTATTTCAGGATGGTTAATTGACGTGACGGGGCGATGATGAGTAGCGATCAATTCGTAGCGATTCTGTGTTCTGTAGATTAGTAGTCGACGATGATAGCAGCATCAGCATTCACTGGTTCTCTGTTCATGTCTTTCGGCTCGCTATTGATGGCTTTGGATTCGTTTTGAGATGATCCTTGAACATAGCTTCACGCCGCCCAGATGGCGATTCAATCTAGCGGAATGCTTCAAAAGATTGTAGATATTAATCTGCGTAGGCTAGAAAGAATCTACGAAGGTGTCGGTGAAATGCTGATAAGAGTTACGAACGCGCTCACTAATTCGATCAAATGCTTTTAGAAGGTCTCCGGCTGAACGCGAGATGTTTAATTACTAAAGTGGAATTAATATTGGTGATTGTGTGTGTATGTGGTGATATGTGAGAAGTGCGACGTGTAACTTAAGTGATTATTGCTTGTGAATGTAATTTTCGTAAACAATATGTGTGAATGACGATAAGTGATTTGTGCAGTGAACGTAACGAACATAAGCAATTTATATTGAGGTCCACAAATGATTACAGTAGCAAATATGAAATAATTCGACTAGATTTAATACAATTATTGAAGTAAGTGAATAAAATTGTTTCGATTTGCGTCTAATCTCTCTGCTTTCCACTTGTTGTTGAAATTTCTCCGCTTTCCAGCCATATAATTTATCTAATAATGTTCATAAGGTGACTAATTGTGTAAGAGTTTAGTGGAATTAAAATCTGTTTTCCCTTTCTTCCCAATTGCTAGGCACATTTGAAACAAATTCCACCAATAGTGGGCATCACGATGCACTTGTTGAAATAATCGTTCGATTGACAATCCATCATTCACTACGATGACAAATTCTCGCAATTTTCTTTTGTTTTTGTTGCGCATTGTCAATCAAGTTCATTTCTTGCTCGATGTATTGCGGCAAATATAATGGCATGAACAGTTGTGACAACGGCTATGTTTATGTTTATCTTTCAACAAAACTGAATTGCAGCTCATCATAAGACATCCAAAATAAACAAACTTCGTTGCTCGCATCAGATCTGTCCAATAACCAAACTTATTGGATTATCGATCACCAATGTTATCCAATTCACAAATTGACGAATGTCTACCGAGCGAGGTATAATAATGGTGTAATTGTTCAATCCAAATCAGCCATTCATTAATTCATATCTCTTCACTTAGAGCATATTATATCGTATGTTGAAACAACTACAGGTATACGGCAATGGGATGAAGTCGATGTGCCGTGATGTGAGCGAATCATGCTCCAAAGATGGTAATTGCCAACTTCTCTATTATGATGGCTATTGGAATACGTGTACTGAAGCGAGTACGTTGCAGTTTTTTGACTCGGATAATACAACGCTTATGACGGCCATTTATGGGTTCGTTTCTACGTTCGCTTAGAGCACCAGCTCTGCTTCTGCACATGTTCCACTGCGGTCTCCTCACTTCAGAATAAGAGTGCTTTTTCTTTGCTCTAATCCAGTAAATGACCTATGACACTGTATTTGCACTTATCAGTCACTGCACACGACCCGGATTGTCATGCAGTTATGGTTGTCCAATTGGAAATTTATTTATTTTTTCAAAATAATCGCCTAATGTTTATAACCGTCTCTAAATTTGCTACTGGTCACATCGCAGAGACATATTTGCAACATATCACAATTGGTCATTGTTCTCGTTCATTCCGATAACCTTCAAAAGGCCAAAAAATACGATTTCAATATGGTATCAATGAAATCCTCTAGAAATTTTGAGCGCCACCGATTGCTCAGATTATTACTTGGCAAGCAATGTTCACCTGAACAATTTTCTATTTTCAGTTATTTATTGCCGCTGCTTTCGACTCTTGTTGTTTTCTCGAATGGGATTGTTATATTGGTGATAGTCGGTCAGAAAAAGGTCAGTNATCCTTACGTTAGCCAGTAAAGTAAATTGTCTCAAAATTGATTGAAGTGTCGCACTTTGCTTTCATTTTCTATCGGAATGCCAATAAGTTGATAGATGAAAATCAACTGATCATAGTAATGAATATTCCAGAAAGCTGCCACCACTGAACCATTGCTTGCGATGGCAGTTTGCGCGTTTCTTGGTGCAGTCGTACCGCTGCCGTTCACCATTTGGTAAATTTCTTCTTTGGAGTTTGATTCTATTTGAAAACTTCTCGCATCATTATGAAATACAACAAAAATTTTAATGTTGTCAATTGCTGATTTCTTTGGAAGTTGTAAAAGACGACGATTATTGGATGCAATTATGGTGTTTAGTGAGAATCATTCATAAATATTGTTTGTGTCATGAATATTACCATAAATGGCAAAGTATCTGGTACATCCGTTATTATTGGTTTGATTCTGAACATAAGTCACGTGTTATTATTTGCGTAGTTATTACTGTATGTGTCAATTGTTANGGCACATATCTCAATCAGGAACAATTTTGATAATTGTCTCGAGAGTTCGCACTCATTTCCGAGTGATTTCAGGTACTACACGCTGGACCATAAGAACGATCTGAATCAAAACATTGAGTTGTGTTATGTGCATAAATTGTGTATGGAACTGATGCCATTCTTTTTCAACACTCTCATCACTCTATTCACGCTCATCTTAGGCGGACAGCGGTATATTTTTTCGGCATTTGAACTGAAAGTGATTCGGAGGGGATCAGAACGCATCACGGAATTCCATGAGAATAGGCAGTCGAGTGCTTTCGAGAATTGAACAAAACTGAACTGTTGTTTTTGACATTCCTTCAGTTTCTGATATTCCTTCAGACATTTCTTTGGTAATTTGAATCATCTTCGGTCCGTGACACAAAACATCAGTGACCATTATTTGATTGGGTGCCTCTCGTAGTCAGTTATTTACTCGTTGATAAAACGATGCACTTCGAAGAAGCAGTCACTACCAGTATCAAATAATTGTGAACTTTAGTGAATCAAAAACCTTTAAGAGAATGTTTATATCGTTGTCGACAAACCATCCATCAATAATATTCTCCACTTCCCATCACTTTATCAGATCTTCCATTCTCCATTTCCCATGAGAATTACAACATCCTGTCAAAAATCAATCCCTAACCAACGCATCCTCATGTGAGGCTAATCAATTCATTTTTAAGTGCTGAGAAACAAATCACATTCGAAAAGCTGCACCATAAATGTTTTGAATTATGATTCCGAGTTAATCTATCCAACGATAGTTCCTCCTGTCTTTTGCTCGAAAATGATCATAAAAACGATTGTAGCAAATAGAAGAGCCAAAGTAAAGCCAATAAATAACATTCAAACGGATTTTGGTGAACTTAACAAGATGAAATTAACAAGAATGCATTCAGATTCATTGCTGTTCATTATCCACTTCGGTGTGCACGGTGGTGTACTCAAAGAACTACTCGAGCTGTTTCATTGTGTGCAGTATTGTTCGCATTCTCATGGACATTCATACAGTCAACTGCTGAATTCAAAGTCATTTACCATTTTTGCATTCAAGTACGATTTACGATCCGATTCCACTCTATATCCTTCTTGTATTCTTTATTATATCTCTCTGCCCAACAATAACTCTTATGAAATCATCGCTAACGATCATTACCTGTAAATGTGAGTGAGCTCTCATAAATGCACCTTACCTTGCCTTACGCACCATTTGCAAATGTTTAGATGTATACACAAACACATTCGCCACTGCCGTTCGTTCCTTTATGGAAAAGAAAATTGCACCACAAGCCCCTAAACTGTGAAATGCCCCTAAACTGCATACGGATCGGATCTGTTGCCATTCAATCAATGTCCTTTACCTAGATTCATTTGAGCTTCATAAGTGCTTGAGAGCAAACAAAACGGAAACATTTATCAGCAAACAGTGTCAGTAAACAAGGAATGAATTGTTTGTCTAACGAGAAGTATGCTCTATCTTTTTATCGCTGTATCATTATACAAATAGATTGAAATTTAGCACTTATACAGCAAATGACATTTCGAGTTTCCACATGAGGCATTGTAAAATACCACTGAACTCTTTCATTCCTCTAAATTTTAACGTCAGACGAGTTTGTGATGAGGATGGCCAACAATATGAGGTGACCAAATTCACAGCATACGCTGATAGCATGTGCAATGCAGATTAATGAGGATGGCAATGGTGTATGGGCGGCCAGATGTTTCTTAGGACATTCGGAATTCGTTAAGTGGATCGGTACGGATCTATTCGTGGTTGTTTATGATACGTCCAGGATCGTTGTACTCAAACTCGTTCCATGCGTCGTTCTTTTCTTACTAACCATCCAGCTGATTCGTGCCATTAAAACCGCCGATAATATTGCAATCTCGTGAGTTATTCACTTTGGTCATTCTGTCAAAAGCCTTTATTTCATTCACCAAAACCATGTTTTTTGGTTTTTCGAAGTACTCATCTCCTTTCAAAGTATCTTTTGAGAAATAGTGTATCGTCAATTCGACGAACAAATGTGCTGTGAAAACTTCCTCAAAATAGTCTGAAGAAGTGGTGGCTTACGAAATGGCCATCAGACTGACTTCCAAGTCTCATTTAATCGATTCCAAGCCAAGATTTTTCCCCCGACAACATAATGACCATAACTTCCCCTTCCACTCCACGTGACAATCCAGCATATCCCGGTAGAAAGT